TGGAAAAAATAAGGTGGAAATGTGAGAGGAAGACACCTGGAGGTGATCTCTGACCTCCACACAGGCGCGCGCACACACACACACACACACACACACACCCCACCCAACAGCCAAAAGGAATGGAGTTTTTGTTTGTTTTGTTTTTCCAAGATAAGGTTTCTCTGTGTAGCGTAGGCTGTCCTGGAACTCTATCTGAATTTTTAAAAAAATTACCACAAAGTTAAAAAGTAAAATGGGGATTTGGGGAGGGGGAGTCGAGACAGGGTTTCTCTGTCAAACAGTCCTGGCTGTCCTGGAACTTGATATGTAGACCTCAAACTCACAGAGATCCGCCTGCCTCTACCTTCCAAGTACTGGGATTAAAGGGGTGCATCACCACCACTCGGGTGGAGTTTTTTTTATTTTGTATATAGTTCTATGAATTTTAGTACTTATGACACCAACCTAAGGGCTCGAGAGATGGCTCAGTGGTTAAGAGCACCGGCTGTTCATCCAGAGGATCTGAGTTCATTTCTCAGCACCCACGCGGTGGCTCACAACCATCTGTAACTCCAGCCTCCAAAGGTCTAGCGCACTCTTTCCTCTGGTGTACATATCAGCTACATACATGGTGCACAGGCAAATGTACTGCCAAAATACCCATATGCATGAGAGCATATGTAAGAGAAGGGAAACGACAGCGCCTATGTAACTGGAGGAAGTCCTGAGAAAGGGTTGCCCTTCATTTGGCTCTTATCAGGGTATTTTATCATAGCAAGAGATAAAGGAACTAAGACATCTCCATACACACATGCCTGTGTGTGCACCCACATTCATTCAAACATGCACACAAACATACATGTCCCGTATACAAAAATTGGATGTGATTTTAATCATGGGAGGCTGAGGCAGGAGGGGCAACTCACGGTTGTGGTTCTGCAGCCTGCCACACACACACACCCTCCACACAGTGTGCTGTGTAAGCATTTCTCTCTACTGGAATCAAAAACAGCACCACCAAAAACCCAAGAACAATGAAAACAGGAGTGTCTTCTATAGAGTCATATAGTAAGTAGGCATCTCAGGGCAGCTTTATTCAGCCGATACCCTTTGGAGATGCACCCATGTGTATCCATAGTTGGCTTGGCTTGTTTGTTTGTTTTCTTGCTGGTCCTGGGGACTGAACCAGGGCCTTGCACTGGCTAGGCAAATATTCTACCACTGAATTGAATCACAAACCCAACCCATCTCATCTTATTTCTGTTGGTAACCCACTGTACAGACTTACCACGTTCATTCTCCTATTGAGGTATGTTTGCATTGTTTTCAGTTTCTGGTAGTTATGAATAGAAAATATAAACATTTATTTTTGCTATAAACAGAATTCAATGGGAGCGTGTGTTCTCATTTATCTAGGTTAAATACTTAGGAATGGGTGTGTTAGCATATGGTAAATACGTGTTTTATCTTTTTTTTTTTTTAAGACACATGCTCACTATGTAACCCTGTCTGACCTAGAACTCACTATGTAGACAAGGCTGGCCTCACAGAGATCCTCCTGCCTCTGTTTCCTGAATGCTAGAATTAAAGGCACCATCATGCCTGGAAAGGAATGTTTATCTTAGTAAGAAATTGCTGAGCCAGGGGTGTAGACACACACCTGTAATCCTAATACTTGCAAGGTTGAGGCAGGAGAATTAGCAGTTCATCTAATTAGTCATCTTCAGCTAAACCAAGAGTATGGGCTCAGTCTGAACTACATGTGAAATGTTGCCTCAAAATCATATCAAACAGCACTACAGCCAGCACACCAAACAAAAAGAGCTAGCCCTTTCTACATTGGTTGTACCATTTTGCATTCTTTCTAGCAGAATCGCTGAGACCCAGTTATTTTGCATATCCATCCAGTATTTATTACTGTTTGGCTTATGTATTTATTTACATTTACTATTACTATTGTGTGTGTGTGTGTGTGTGTGCACCTGCTCATGCCTGTCTGCCTGTCTGCCTGTGTGGGAATGTATAGTATGTGTGTGTGTGGGCACTATGCCATAGCGCTCCTATGGTTGCCAGAGGGGCAGCTTTGTGACATTAGTTCTCTTTCTACCTTTTGTCTGACTTCTGAGGATAGGAGTCAGGCACCTTCATCACTGAGCATTCTCGCCAGTGCCTAGTTTATTGTTAACCTTTTTCTTATCTATAGTTAGTGGTAACACACTGGTTTTGTTTATTTATTTTTAATTTTTTATATTTTTAAACTTTTAACTTATGTATATGACTCTTTTACTTGCATGTATGTCTGTGCACCATATATGTGCAGTGCACATGGGGACCAGAATGGAAATCATTAGATTTTCTGAAATTGGGAGAGCCATGTGAGCCACCATGTGGATGCTGGGAATTGAATCCAGGTCCACTGCAAAAGAACAGCCAAAATGCTCTTAACTGCTGAGCCATCTCTCCAATTCCAACAGGTTTCTTTCTTTCTTACATTTGTTTATTTGCCTATTTATTTATTTATTTATTTATTTATTTATTTATTTATTTAAAGTTTTGTTGAGGTAAGGCTTCCATATGTAGACCATGTTGGGAAATGCTTGTTTTACTGTTCTGCTCATTTTTTAGATTTTAATTAGAAACAAGCTTGCTTCACATGTCAATCACAGCTCCGTCACCTTCCCCTCCTCCCCCTACCCCCCACCAGGCCCCCCAGTCCCCTACCCAATCCTCACTCCACCCCCCAGGGAGGGTGAGGCCCACCATGGGGGATCTCCAAAATCTGTCATATCATCCTGGGCAGGACGTAGGCCCTTACCCATGTGTCCAGGTTGAGACAACATCCCTTGATGTGGAATGGGATCCCAAAGTTGATTTGTATGCCAGAGATAAATACTGATCTACTACCACAAGCCCCATATATTGCCGAGGCCTCCTCACTGACACCCAAATTTAGAGGGTCTGGATCAGCCCCATGCTGGTCTCTCAACCATCAGTCTGGGGTCCATGAGCTTCCCCTTGTTCATGTCAGCTGTTTCTGTGGGCTACACCAGCCCGGTATTGACCCCTTTGCTCATCACTCTTCCCTCTCTGCAACTGGGTTCCAGGAGTTCAGTTCAGTGTTTAGCTGTGGTGTCTGCCTCTGCTTCCATTGGCCCCTGGATGAAGGCTCTAGGATGGCACATAAGGTAGTTGTCAATCTCATTATCTGGGAAGGGCATGTAACATAGCCTCTTCATTATTACTTAGTTTGCTAGTTGGTGTCATCCTTGTAGATCTCACTAGTGGCAGATCTTTCCTCAAACCTATAATGACTCCCTCTATTATGGTATCTCTCATCCTGCTCTCCTCTATTCTTCCCCCGACTCAACCTTCCTGCTCCCCCATGTCCTCCCCTCTCCTCCTCTTCTTCCCCTCTCTATTTCCCAGCTCCCGCACTGCCCCATGCTCCCAGGAGATCCTGTCCCATTTCTCTGGGTTACTGTGCATATCTCTCTTGTGGTCCTCCCTGTTTCCCAGACTCTCTGGCAGTGGGATTGTAGGCTGGCACTCCCCTGCTCAATGTCTAAAGTCCATATATGAGTGAATGTTCTGCTCATTTTAAAATCGGATTGTCATTTGTTGAGCTTTCTTTATATATTCTGGATCTAAGTCTATGTTGGATATTGATAGGCAGCTAATGTATGCTTTGTTTCACTTTGCTGGATTTCTCCCCCTCCCCTTCTGTTTTCCTTCCCTCTTTTTCCCTGCCTTCCTCTCTCCCCTCCTTCCTTCCCCTCTTCTTTCCCTTCTCTGATTTCATGACACAGGTTAGCCTTGAACTATCCATGAACCCCTGAACTTCCTGCTTCTGCCTCCCAGTTAGTAGGATATTATAGGCTGTGCTGCTATCATGCCAGGAACATTCATTTTAATAGTTCACTTGCCTTTTTTATTATGGTTTATTTATTCATTTGTTTGTTTAGGTTTCTTAAGCAAAGGCCTCCCTGTGTAGTCCAGACTGATCTACAACTCATGGTTCTTCTGCCTCTGCCTCCAAGTGTTAGGATCCACTGTGCTTGGGTCACATCTTGTGTTGTTTCAAATATGTCCTTGTGTGTGCACAACCGAGTAATCAGGCAGGAACTGGGCTGTGATCTGTCTTCATCTAACATCTTTGGTTTGCTCTGTAGTGACACATCCCTACCAGCCCGGCTTCCTGTGAACCCAGGGGTTAATCCACAGCCTCCCGTGTTATCTTTCCTTCCTCTTTTCCCTGCTAGTCTTTCTTCCTTCCTTTCTTTTTTCTTTTCTTCTTTTGGTTTTTCAAGACAGGGTTTCTCCATAGATTTGGAGCCTGTCCTGGAACTCGCTCTATAGACCAGGCTGGCCTTGAACTCACAGTGATCTGCCTACTCTGCCTCCTTCCTTCCTTCCTTCCTTCCTTCCTTCCTTCCTTCCTTCCTTCCTTCCTTCCTTCCTTTCTTCCTGTTAACCTTTGTTGTTGCTGCTGTTAATTTTGAGTCAGGGTTTTGCTGTGTAGCCCAGGCTGTCCTGGAACTCACAGTGTAGCTCAGGCTGTTCCAACCTGAGGCCCCCTTTCTGCTTTGGCTTCTTGGACTGGCATCAGAGCCCGACTGCCATGCTTTCTTCCTCCTCTTCTTTTCTTTTCAGAAGTTTTTTCTTTGTTTTACACAAAATGCGTGTAAAATCTTTTGTATCATCATTACAAAACACCTTACTGTAGAAATCTTGAAGAATGAATGTAAAGCTAAAATAAAGTGAGTGTAAAACCCTCTGTAAGCACATGAATACTGCTGTGTTGGTGTTGGTACACGACTCTGTTCACTCATGTACTTTCTTTTCAACTTTTGGGGGTGAGGTGGAGAACGGATCCATAGTTTTGCTATACCCAGCTCTCTTTTTGAACAGTAGAGCATCATTAAATGCAATTATGTTAATTATTTTTACTAGTAGTCTTAAGATGAGCTATTATCACCTTGGTCTAACTCCACTCTCTCTAAACCTTCTGTTTTCACGAATAGGTGGAAAATGTTTACCCTCAGCCTGGCTGGGTTGAAATCGATCCTGATGCTCTCTGGGCTCAGTTTGTTGCTGTAATAAAAGATGCTGTCAAAGGTAACAGGGTTTACAAAAAGACTGCAGTCTACAGCGCACTTTTGTTTGTTTGTTTTTGTTTTTTGAGATGGGGTTTCTCTGTGTAACAGCCCTGGCTGGCCTGGAACTCGCTCTGTAGACCAGCCTGTCCTCAAACTCACAGAGATTCGCCTGCTCTGCCTCCCTAGTGCTGGGAGTAAAGGTGTGCACCACCATTGTCTGGCCTACGGTGGACTTTTTCCTGATGAGTTTTCCTCAGCATTTTGGATAATTTTGTGGATTTCTATTTGTAACATATATAGTATACATAAATTTATATGATATATATAGTCTTTTATATTTTGTGTGTTATATATATCATTTTTAGTATATAGAATACATATAAATATATAAATACAAATATATATCATTTATATATATCATTTATCATAGTATATTTCATATGTAGTCTTCTTGTATTACATATATCATTTATCATATTATCACATATGTATGATTTTATATATGTGATAAATGTGATAATACACACACACACACACACACACACACATATATATATATATCTTGGTATTACAGTTTCCCAGTGTTTTGCTGGGAGATTTGTGATTTACAGTCAACTACTTTGTCAAGGAAAAAATAGCAGCAGTCATGTCCTAGTTTTTCCACTGTAGGATAAATAAATGCCCCAGGCCACAGCTCGGACTCATCTGGTTTCCTGGTGGCTACAGCATCCAGAGGGTTAGAAACCATTACCGTGTACTGTTCTTTCTTCACAATCCATTTACCTTTACTGCAAGATAAGTTTAATTTTTCCTTGGTGCAGTGTTACCCATTGTAACACTTGAGATCAGCTTGAACTACTTAGGAGACCCTGTCTTAAGAAAAGGAAAAGAGGCATGGAGAGATGGCTCAGTGGTTAAGAGCACTGGCTGCTCTTCCTGAGGACCCCGGTTCAATTCCCAGCACCCACATGGCAGCTCATAACTGTCTGTAACTACAGTTCTGGGGGATCCAACACCCTCACACAGACATGGATGCAGACAAAACACCAGTGCACATAAAATAAACATTTTTAACAAAAGAAAAGGAAAGGAAAAGAAGACAGTTGGAGAGATGGTTCCATTGTTAAGTCAGATGGATAAAAATAAATCTTTACAAAGGAATAACAAAGTAACAGCAATAAAAGTCTTAATGTTAACCGTGGGGGGCCCACGCCTATACTCTCAGCACTCAAGTTGGTGAGGCAAGAGGATTACTGTGGGCTAGGTAGTAAGTACTGGGCCAGCCTGGGCTACAGAAATTAGACCTGTCTCAGAAGAACAAAACAAACAAAAACAAAATTCATGATTTTATTTCTATACTGTTTATGTTGGAAAAATACAATCTCAACTTCAGCAATTACACTAATTTCCCTAAATATTTCCATTCAGCATCGTCAGGCAGCTTCTATTATAATTGGTTATTGCCTAAACAAAACAAAGGCTTTTGGTATTATCAGGAATAAAAGATGCAGTGTGACTGAACAGTATTTGTTTTTCTAATATTTAAACTTTTAAAGATGCGTTTTTGTTATTATTAGGGTATCTTTTTTCCTTTTAAGTAAAAATAATGGAAAATTTATCTTAGTAAGGCTTTGCTTATTGAGCTCAGACATTCTTGTCAGAGATTCCATACTGTATGTTAAACAATTAAACTTCACTGGCTTTTAAACCTGTCCTATCTCTCTTTAGCTGCAGGAGTCCAGATGCATCAAATTGTCGGACTTGGCATATCAACACAGAGAGCCACTTTTATTACGTGGAACAAGTAAGTGCTTTGTGTGGCCCGGCCCGCACTGCTTCAGGGAGTTGGCTGTTTGGGGAACCTGTCTGGGGAGTTTTCAGTTTGTGAATGGGAAAGAATTGTGTTTGGCTATAAGGGATTAAAAAGGGCTCATCTGATCTTAAAATAATGAGAAGGAAGCCAGGTGTGGCGCCCACCTTAGTAGTACAGATAGTGAAATCAAAACTACAGAAAAGGAAGTGGCAGGGTGGTCCATGCATATCTATAATTCCAGCACGTGAGAAGCTGAGGCAGGAGGATCGCTTGAGCTGAGTTGAGGGCAACCTGGGCAACACAGAGAGTACCCATTTATTTCAAAAGAAAACTTGAAATAACAATGAGGAGATGAAATTCTCTGTTCCTCTCTTTTGGGTAAGTTGACTTTCCCAGTGAACCCAAAGGTCTGAAAAAGTTGCCGTATGCGTACAGAGAGTCAGAGGTCCTAACATGTGAGAGCCCAGCACTAGCATAGGCTTACATTCTCAGGCCAGCGTGTAAGTGTCTGCAGCATCGGAGGCGGGGATGGTGTATGCAAGGTGACAGCAGTGTCAGAGCTGCCAAGCGATACACACCTTTGCTGTTCCAACTCACTCTCGGGACAACAGACCAGGGAAGAAACTGAAGCTAAGATGTCAGTAGGTTGTTCAAGAACACTCTAGAGCCAGGATTCCAAACTAGCTTTTGGCTTGCTTTTCTGTTTGTTATTTCACTTTTTTAAAGTGCTGTGGATTGGATCTAGGGCCTCAAAGGGCTAGGCCGGTGCTCTGCCGTTAAGCTGTATCCTCAGCCACAGGTCATTTTGTCTTTCGTTTGTTGTTGTTGGTTTAACTGTGAAGCCTGTTATTTTCAAGTACAGCCATGGTGCCTACAGTATTTGTGGGGGGGGGTTCTGCTTTTTAAATAACAAGAAGGGCTGGATCGATGGCTCAGTCATTAAAGGCTAGGACCCCAACCAAAAATGACTATGAAAAGGAACTGGGCATGGTGGTAGCATGTGCCTGCTGTCCCAGCACTCAGGCATCTGGGCCTGGAGGACTGCTTAAGTCCAGGAGTTCAAGCCGGGCATTGTTGGCGCACGTCTTTAATCCCAGCACTCGGGAGGCAGAAGCTGGCGGATCTCTGTGAGTTCAAAGCCAGCCTGCTCTACAGAGGAGTTCCAGGACAGCCTCCAAAACAATACAGAGAAACGCTGTCTCGGAAAACCAAAAAAAAAAAAAAAAAAAAATCCGGGAGTTCAAGACCAGCCTAGCATTGTAGAGAAATAAGTCAAAATGAAAGGAGAAACAAAACTCTGAGATGTTTTATTGAATTGAAGCTCTAGATGCTGTAGGACGTCTTGAGCTCGGGCAACCAGGTGAAAAGGTGAGAGGCAGAGCTAAGCCTGAAGATAGAATCAGGCTTTTGATTCCATGTTAAGCCAGAGGAAGAAATGTAGCCAGGCTTGGTGGCTCACCCTGGTAATCCCAGCATTCACATGGCCGAGGCAGGAAGAGGCTACTAGTTCATGGCTGGCCTGGGCTATAGTGAAACCTCAAAAACAAACAAAAATCTATAATGCCAAATAAATCCGAGGGAGCTGCAGATCCAGCCTGTGGCACCTTGTGTTGGGTGACTCATTCAGGATTCTTTGTGCATTGTAGGTGTCCCACCCTCAGGACAAATTCAAATGTCTCCAGACACTATAAAATTGCTCTCACTTGAAAACAGTCAGCAGAAGTCTCCAGAAGCAGGCATGTTATCTCTGGTAGACACTGTGTGGAGAAAAGAGAAGCAGAACGCAGGTTTACACTGAGGTTTTCTTCCCTCAGCCTTAAACAGATTCAGGGCGGGGAGGAAGGCTGGCCAAGCAATGCCAAAGTGCATGTGAGAAGTATCGGATGGGGAGTTGGAGGTTGGAGAGAGTTCCCAGGGAAGGGATTTGCTGGAGATAGCCCTATTGGTCAGAATTGGAGAGGAGGTCATTGGTCCCATAAATTGTTTTCGTTAAAACCAGGCTGCTCTGTCATCCATGGCAGGAAGGCAAGTATTAGGCAATAGTTTTTCTGAAAGCGGCTCGGGCTCTGATACAGTTCAGGTACCGTACTGGTGTAACAGTCAAACAGTTTATTGTGAATTTGTTTTCACTTTTTCTGTCTTGAAATGTTTATATTTTATGGATTTTGGAAAAACTTTTAGCAGGCAGAATCTGAAATATGGACACATTTTGAAGAAATGTGTATGGCCCCACCCTTGTTTTATAATGGAACAATGGAGTCTTATTCTGCCCACTGGGCAGTAGTGAGCTACTATGGTGTCAAGATGGCACCATCCACCTACTCCCCATAAATGGCAAAGACAACACCAGATCAGAGTGAGCAGTGAGTGTGTCATGTTCCACTGAGAGAAAGACAGATTGGAACCCGTGCAACAACTAGTCAGTTCTCTCTCTCTCTCTCTCTCTCTCTCTCTCTCTCTCTCTCTCTCTCTCTCTCTCTCTCTCTCTCTCTCTCTCTCTCTCTCTCCCTCCCTCCCTCCCTCCCTCCCTCTCTCTCTCTGTCTCTCGTGTGTGTGTGTGTACGTGCACATATATAGAGACCAAAGGTCAACACTCTTCCTCTGTTGGTCTCTGCCTTAGTTTTGAGTCAGGGCTTTTCATTGAACCTGGAGCTGACCAATTGGCTAGACTGTCTGGCCAATAAGCACTAGGGGGTCCTCGGTCCCTGCCTCTCCAGCTCTGAAATTACAAGTGCACACTGCATGTGGCTTTTTGCCCACTGGCCATCTCCTTGGCTATGTAGCTTTGTTTGAGATAAGCTTTCACCGAATCACTCAATAGCCCAAACTGCCCTCAGATTTGTGGTAATCCTCCTGCTTCAGCCCCTGGATTGGAGATAGCAGGTGTGAGCCATCATGTTGGGCCTTGTTTTTTGTTTGTTTGTGACTATGGTATATTCCTGTCTTCACGGCCTTAGAAACTGATTTTCCTTATGGCATTCGTATCAAGAAGTTTAAAACTTGGAACGATGTTTTCTCCTTGAGCCTCCCTGCCCTACACTCCCACAAAGCCGGGAAGCTCAGTGTTAATGCTCTTTAGTCCTTAATTTTTTTATATATTCTTTTCAGCTAAACCTTTTTTTTGTTTGTTTGTTTACTCCATGGTGTACTTAGCTTGCTTTCTACAATAATTATAAGTCGTATTTCCTCCATTTCGCTGCTTTTGAAAAATCACGACTTGTTTGTTTCTTCAGTTGCTGAGTCTCCCAGGGAAATTTTGCCAGCTAACCCCAGATCAGGGTGTGTGCCAATTAGCAGTGTAAAATGTGAGTCACAATCTGGGATCACTCAATAACTGTTGAGGTTCTCAGCCCTTGACTCTGCTGCTTGTGGAACTGAATACAAAGGCGAGGGAAAGAGAATGCCCTCGGGGGATTTATATTCCCATTGCCCTATATAAGACTCTGTTCTCAGCCAAATGAGGCTTTCACTGTAGCATTTGGTCCTTGTCTTAATGGTTATTACTAATTGTTTCTGACACCAAGTATGTTAACAGCCACAGAAGGGTTAAAGTGTTCCCAGGACCGAAGCCCGTTTGTTTGGTATTGTCATTCGTGTTCCTCTCTGTTTTCTTCTCTTAGAGAGCTGAAACTAACCTAGCTTGATGTCACATGAATATTGGACTGTATGCCAGCACTTGAAATCAGCTTCTAGTTGTTTTGTATTGCATTTTAAGTTAGCCCCGTTTCCGTCTTGTGATTTTTCTCCTCTCCAGCTAACCTTTCTGTTCCTCTGTGCTCCACCCACCTTAGGGCCTATGATTCTGTCAGAGTACTCAACTCCTAGTTCGCACTGTGGTTCCTCGGAGCCTGGATTTCTCCTTCACAGGGCTTGTTCCTGCTGTTTGTAAGCGAGGGAGTCATTATTCATTTGAGTCCCAGAGCAAAAAGGCCTGTGTTCTGTTCACTCTTCTGTCTCTGTCTTCTGGAACAAGTACCTCCAGAAATGTTTGCTGAAACTAGTGAAGGAGTGACCACGGCTGGGGGCTACTCAAGTGAACGGTGGAATGATAATATTAGGAATGAAGAGGCTTACATTGACGCTGAAAATGACCTGTGTTCGGGTGGAAGAGGTCAGGACTAGGGTGTGCGGCTCAGGTCCCAGGTTCAATCTCCAGCACTGTAAAAAAAAAAAATGTTTGAAGGAAAAGTATTAGTACCCACCGCAGGAGCCTCAGAAGAAGACGGTTTTTTTCTTCTATATCTCTTAGCTGTGTACTGCTATTACAGTATTGACTCAGGGTTTGCTATTTTTTGTTTTGTTTTTTTGTTTTGTTTTGTTTTGTTTTGTTTTTTTGCTTTGTCTTGTTCTTTCAAAGAGAATGGTATAGTTCAGGCAGGCCTTGAACTCATCTTCTTGCCTATTCAGTGTTCCTACTTGTGTCCGCCGCCACCACCACCACTACTGGAAGATAATTAATTAATTTTGAGATAAGGTCTCATCTACCCCAGGTAGATTAGGCTGGTGTTGCATTTGCTGCAGTCTTCCTGCTTTGGGCCTTCTAAATGAGATTACAGGCATGTGTCACCATGCCTGGCTTTTGTTTTTCTAGTTTCTTTTTTAAAAACATTTTATTACTGGGAGCTGGACCCATGTTTGAGTCTCAGCACCCACATGATGACTAGTAACCATCTAATATGGCTAATAAACTCCAATTCTAGGGGATCGATGACCAGCTCTGGCCTCTGCAGGCTCTTGGTGCATGGGGTATGCAGACATAATGCAGACAAAAGGCCCATACATACAGATACAATGAAATATTATTGCATGTGTCTGTATGTGTGGCCATGTGTCACCATGTGTCACCATGTGTGTAGAAACACATTTGGGAGTTTGTTCAATTCTCCCACTGACGTTGAACTCAGGTTATTAGGCTCAGTGGCAGGCACTTTTACCTGCCGAGCTATCTCACTGGCCCTGGACTTTTCTTGATTGGCTACATCTTCGTAATCATATTAGATACCAAGGTCTAAAGCTGAGAGATACGGAGAGGCTGAAGAGTCCTGTAGCCCGCTGTGGGTCAGAAGTTTGTATGTGATTGTGTCAGGTAAGCATGAGGAAGGGGAAACTATTGGTTTCTTATTTGTTTTATTTTTTTGTTTTGTGAGACAGAGTCTTACTGTGTAGCCCTGGCTGACCTGGAGCTTGCTGTGTAGACCAGGCTGCCTCTGTAGTGCTGGGATTAAAGGCTTGTCCTTACCATGTCAGGCCTTGTGGCTCTTTAAAACACAAAAGCAGCCGGGAGGTGGTGGTACACGCCTTTAATCCCAGCACTCCGGAGGCAGAGGCAGGCGGATCTCTGTGAGTTCGAGGCTGAGCTGAACCGACAGCCTCAAAAACAATACAGAGAAACCCTGTCTCGTAAAAACCAAAAAACAAACAAACAAACAAACAAAAAACAAAAAACAAAAAAAACCCCAAAAACAAAAAACACAAAAGCATATGTGTAAGGCCTGGGCAGTAATTTTGTTGTTGAAAGTATACATATCACATTGTTTCAAAAGGACAGTCTTTTGGGGTAAAGTTTATTCAAAATCTGATACTATGTGTTACATAATATTTCTGGGTGGGCAGTTGCTTATGAAACAAGGTCTCATTCTGTATCCCAGGCTGGCCTGAAACTCCTGGCAGTCTTCCTGATACAGCCTCTTAAATGCTGAATAAGCTATGAACCAGTTAATCTCACACAATTGTTATATCATGTGTTCAATTTATAAAAACCAAAGAGAATTCAATAGGAAGTTCCATTTACTTTATTGTATTTTGAAATTATAGTGTCTTTTTTATTTAAAATTACGGTGTGTCTTTATTATGTTTTCTCTTTGGGCAGATTTTTTTTTTATGCTAGGAATTGAACCTGGGGCCTCCCACATTCTAGCAAGTGTCCTACCAATGTACCCAGCCCTCTGTGGCAGACCTTTGGTATGGTATCTGATTTATACTTTACTGTTTTCATCTTTCTTAGGAGAACAGGACATCATTTTCACAACTTTATTAGTTGGCAAGACCTAAGGGCAGCTGAACTTGTAAAATCCTGGAATAATTCTCTTGTAATGAAGGTAATTTTTTTAATGAAATGTTTTTCCTTTTTTACTATAAATATCTCTTAGCTGCAGACTTAATTGTAGAGTCCCCTACCTTTTATTGTAGCCCCTGGCTTAGCCTTCATTATGGAGCCCAGGCTGACTTTGAACTTGTGGTCTTCCTACCTGCCTCCCAGGTGCTGAGGTTGAAGTATGCACCACGACACCAGGCTTCATGTTGTGTTTTTGTTTGTTCTTAAAAAATGTTTTTTATCGAGGCCAGCCTGGTCTACAGAGCGAGTTCCAGGACAGCCTCCAAAACAATACAGAGAAACCCTGTCTCGAAAAAAAAAAAATGTTTTTTTTTAAAGACTTCATTCGTTTCTTTGTTTATGTGTATGAGTGTTTTGTCTGTATGCGTGTTTGTGCACAGATGTCAGAAGAGGGAGTTGAATCCCTTGGAGCTGGAGTTGCAGAAGGTTGTTAGCCACCCTCTGGATGGTGGAGCCAAACCCAGTTGCTCTGGAAGAGCAACAGATGTTCTTAACCACTGAGCCACCTCTCCAGCCTCTGTGTTTTGTTTTATAAGAAACTTCTTAAGGACTAGAGATGGCTTAGTGGTTTAGAACACTGCCTGCTCTTCCAGGGGTCTTGAGTTCAATTCCCAGCAACCTCATGGTGGCTCACAAAGATCTATAACGGGATCTGGCATGAAGTCAATAGAGCACTCATACATAAAATAATAAATAAATCTTAAAGAAAGAAAGGGAGGGAAGGAAGAGAGAGAGAGAGAGAGAGAGAGAGAGAGAGAGAGAGAGAGAGAGAGAGAGAGAGAGAGAGAGAGAGAGAGAGAGAGAGAGAAAGCAGCTACTTAAATTGGACTTGGTGGCACAAGACTTTAATCCCAAGACTTGGGAGGCAGAAGGAGGTGGAGCTCTATTTCAGGACCAGCCAAGACTACATAGTAAGACCCTATCTAAAAAAAAAGGGGGGGGGGAATCAAGTACCATTAAATGTATTTTCTGAAAATATCTTTTGATTTTAAACAGCTGTTGCGTGGCTCCTGCCGAGCCCTTCACTTTTTCAGTAGAAGTAAACTAATGTTGACAGTCAGTCGCTTCCATTTCTCCACCCAGCATGCTACCTTAAGATTGATCTGGATTTTACAAAACCTGCCTGAGGTAAGAAAAGATCGTGTGATCATGACTGTGGGGAAGGAAACTTCAAAGAACAAGAACAATAACCCAGCTGTTTGGGGGGGGAAAGGAAGTACTCTGTGATACTGGAGAAGACAGCAGTATCATTTGGTTCCTGGGTTTAAAATCTTTATGCTCTGTCAGAGCACTGTCGGAGGATGGGCAGAACCGAAGTGCGCCACTCAGGGTCTTGGGGAGTAAATATCTGTGCAGCACCACCTGGGTCAAATGCTGTAATACAACCGGGCGTGGTGTTGCACACCTGTAACCCCAGCAGTTGGGAAGCTGAGGCAGGAGACTGGCAGTAGGTCTGAAGCTGGGCTTGGCTACATTGGGAGGAGGAGGAGATGACATCCATGAAGGGGAAGCATCCTTTACCTGTCGGTCTTTTAGAGAGTGACTTTCACAGGTACTCAGCTTGTTGGGCGAGTCAGGGATGCTAGAACTTACTTTTGGCTCACTCAGGTAAAAGTGAAGTTGGTCAGGCTCTGCTGAACTGATGTTTTTGTTTGTTTTGTTGTTCTTATTGTTGTTACTGATTGTAGACCGACCAATTTTAAGGAACACAGCACCATCTGGGCTTGTTTCACAGTGATTGCTTCATTTCCCCTGCCAAAAGCTCATCCTTACAGATTTGGACCCAACGAGTTCTTATTTTACATTCTGCAGCAGTTAGTCAGTCGCTGTACCAGCCTTCCTTCCTGGCTCCTGCAGCAGTGCCTGGCTTCTGAGAAGCTGTTCTTCGTATTTCTAGTTTTTAGGACAGCTATTTGTCCTGTGATGTCAACCCTGATGAATCAGTGAAGAATTGAACACCTGATTCCCCAGGCTCAAACTCCAAAATGCTGGGGTTA